TTTGAATCTTTGCAATGAAAGAGATGCAGCACCGCGCGCGCAATCGAAACACTCCTCGTCCGCTGAACGTTATCGCGATTACGCGAAGAATTAGCGATTTTTTTTTCCCGACGGTATCGACTTTCGGGGAAATTCGACCGGATTATGTCCGGATATACGAGCCGGATTCGCATCGAATCCCCTCGATGCGCGCGCAATTGACGCACGAAATCTTAATTAAGCGCAAATGAGAATCGATATTACGCGTTGCATCTGTTGGATCTTTCGAAGTTACGCTCGAAACGCGCGGCATGTTGCAGGAGCTCGCGCGGAGCTCACTTTCACCTGGCGCAAACGACCAGTTTTAGTTGCGAAATCCTCGCGGTTTTGTGTATCGATTGCGCAGATCCAGCTGCGTTTTACGCGAGTGTTTCATTTCATATACACGATATTCTCCGTCGCTAATTGCGCGAATGAAGTTTACAAGCTCTCTCGCAGCAGAGTTAGCAACAATTAAATCGCATCGATATTTCGTTTTTTTCTCTCTCTCTCTCTCGCTCTCCGCATTTGCATATTTAACGCGCGCGGTGAGATATAGTTGCGCAACGAAAGAAAACTAATTAAGGTTCATTAAGCGGTAATTGTGTGCGAGCCGCGCTACGCGGGCAGTATTATGAATTTTAATTAAGGGAAGAAAGTTCGATGATGTCGGGAAAAACCTGTTTTTTATCTTCCGTCTCCCCGATCTGCGCGCGCGCGCGTATGTGTTTTCGCTTTTCTATCCGCACAAATGCGCGATCCCGAAGCAATTCTGAAGATCGCATCCTATATACACGACCGAAGAAGAGAAACGAAAATAAACAATAGAGCTAATCGGAACAAACGGAGGCGAGGAGCCTCAAAGGTTGACAGGGAAGAGACGGAGATGACGTAATGTTCCGGAAAGAATTGTTTTAAAAACTTCTTATCGGTACAAACACTGTGGTAATAAAATCTTGAATAGGAAGAATCGCGGTCCGAGAGAGGAAAGATCGAAAAAAGTGGAACCGATCACGCGATGACCGCCTTAACGACGGTGTTCTCTCATTTATCAAGAATGGAAGTTGTCTCGCTTCTTGCGTCTATCCGTCACTCGTTAACCGGACGATCGTTACTATCGTAAAAGTCGGCTAGAGGTAAGAAAGAAGAAAAATAAGAAGGAAGGTAACGGAAAAAAGAAGAGAAAACGAAAGAGAAGATCGCGGCTTCTCCGGGGCAGAGACGTAGTTTCGGGAAAAATAATAGCGCGCCCGGGTCGCTCCAAGAGAGTAGCGATCGTCCAAGGTATAATAATTTCGGGGGACCTTCTCCTCCCCCTTCGCACGCCCCTCTAGCGCAACCGCCACCTCCGTTTGTTCACGCCGCCTTTTTCTGTGTGTGTGTACGTGTCTGCGCTCTCTCGTCTCCCGAGTGTATACATCTTTTCTTTGTTACGTTTACGAGCCTCGTCGGATCCGGAGTAAAACCGCGCCCGCCTCTCTCCCGCTCGCTCCCCTCACGCCGGTGAAATAAATCCGTGTATCCCGGAGGGTCTTAAATTCAACCGGAAATAGAATTTGTCCCGGGGCGGTCACGGGCGCCGGCGGTGGAGCGCGCGAGAGGAAAGTCCGACGAAACGCCCGGGAAACAAGAAGAAGAATCGAACGAAAGCGAGAGGCCTCTGTGCGGTGGGCCGTGGTGGAAGAACAGGAAGGAGAGGAGTGTAAAAGGAGGAGGATGAGCGAGAACTTGCACGTGCCACTGCGAAATTATCACTCTTTCCCGGACGCGATGAAAAAATTGCGAGACAAGAAATTCATTTTTTTTCTTCATTAGATAAAACGGGAGACATGAATTTTGTTAATTAGAATCGAGGAACGAGGATTAATTCTTTTTTTTTTTTTTTTCCGCGCGAAGAGCGGGAAAAGCCTTTGAGGAACGAAACTTGAAACGTTTTATTTATTATTCTACTCCACTCTCGGAGAACTTAAATACACGGCGACTAAAACAAATATCTCCTACTGGAATGTGATTTAGTAAGAGCTGACGTATATATTATTACACAAGAGAAGAGAGAGAGAGGGGGGAAGAGAACTTCTGTGTGTGTGTTATCGGGCGTGGAACTCAAAACTGAAAACCAATTACCATAAAGTAACGGACGGGCTTCCGTTACACGCTGTGTCAGGCTGAGTGTACCCACCTTTTACCTTCACGCGCAACGTGACAATCGAAGTGTCATCCATCATGTTTCGGAGATATACCGGCAGACTTTTCTACCGGATAAAGAACTTCTCTTCGCGGGATAAGCCGCGTGAAACGGCGCGACAACGAGAAGCGTCTTAATCTAGATGGAAACGTCCAACCTGGCTGCGGCGAAAGTTTTCCGCAGGGTTGTGCGCGCAAAGAGCCGGGAAGTCGGAGGGTTTGCGGGTGGAAGCGCGGCGTCACGAGAGCTGCGCGCGGGGGCCGGAGGGGGATGAAGGGGCGACGGGGAAGAGCTTTTCACCTTGAAAGGAGGCAAGTGCACTCGAAGATATTCCCGAAAGCCGAAGAGAGATATTGTACACCGGCATGTATATGTATGTATCGGTGGTGTACTCTGGCTTGCACACAGCCGCCGTCGCCGCACCCTTGGTTAGGGGGGTACACGTCTGTGACGATGCACCAGGCTCGACGCGAAACTCGTTGGAGGAAGCGCGGCATCGCACAGAGGCAGGGCTTAAAATTTTCACGAGCCACTCGACTCGGCAAGGCCTCCTCCGCCTCCCAAAATCTGCAATTTGGCGTACCTGCCTGGGTGGGTGGCGGGTTTTGCTCGGAAAGAGGTCTGGCCCGGAAGAGAACGTGCGCGGCGAGAAGACAGGGGAGGGAAAGACAGAGAGAGAGAGAGAGAGCGAGGACGCCGGAGAGGCCTTTGCTCGTTGAAGGAGGTGGCCAACCACCTAGCGAGTGGTGGGCGACCCGCTAGCGGGAGAGACGATCCTCGTCGTGTTTACGTCTGTGCTTTTCGGAGTAAAAAAGTAACCGAGTGAACGAGAAACGCGAGGGAGCAAAGCTAGCGGGGGACGAGGAGAGGGGACGAAGGAAAAAATGGGAAATAGTGGCTGCTCAAAGGTACTTTGGATACCTATCCACCGGACAACCACCCTCTTCCTTCGTTCTCCTCCATTGCCACTTCAGTCTCTCTCCTCGCTCTCTCTCTTGAGACGAGCGCGAGCGCTGTTTTCGGCAATTCCTTCTGGCGGGTCTTATCAAAAAAAATGAAAGAGAAAGCCGGATGAAAGGAAACACCGCGAATTTCTAGCTCTTCGTTCCCGAAGAGGAAGTCGTTCTGAAGTGAAGAGGAGGAGGAGTGGAAGGATGACGAAAGAGGCTCCAAGAGGTGCGTAGGTCAAGGGGGAGGGGGGAGAGAAAGAGGACATCTTAAAATTTTTTGACGAGGCCACTCTCGTCGAGCAATGGCAATAGGATAGGAAACGGAATGATACTCACCGTGTGTTAGTCGATAGCCGGGCTAGAACGCGTTGCCGAGCCGAACCGAGCTGAATTGAGCTGAAACGAGCTGAACCATAGCGGTGGCGGTGGCGGCGGTATTTTACTGAAGTCTGCAATTTCGCGGATGCATCTTGGGGGCTGACCTGGCTAGAACAGAGGGAAGGGGAAGAAGCAAGAGAAGGTCTTTGCCCGCTTTAGAAGAACTCCTAAAGCGCGCCCACTTTCTGTCTCTCTCTCTCTCTCTCTCTCTCTTTTTTTCTGTCTTTCTCACTCGTTTTATCTTCCCTTTCTTGTCCTCTGTTTTCTTTCTGTCTTTCCTTCACTCATCCGCTCTTTGACACTCTTACCTCCCCTCCGCACCTCTTCACTTTTCGGCACTCTAGAATTTCGTTCCTACTTCGATCCTCGCGCCCTCTCGTATACATGGCCACCCTTCTGTCTTTCCTCCATCGTCTTGTCCCTCTCGTTTCGTCAAAGAATAGCGAGACGCCGGCCAGACCCTAGGAACCTACCGGAGCGAAAGCGAAAGATGGAGTTGGCTGAAAAGGGACGGTCGATGCTTCCCTCTCTCTCTCTCGCACACCTCTCTCTCTGTTTCTGTTCCCGCTATGTCGCGTTTGCCGCAAGCGCAAGAAAGATGGAGGTCGAAGATGGGGCGAGCGAGAGAGAGATGGATAAACGTATGGTATTGATCCTGCGAGAACCCCTTCGCTCTCCGTCCCGAACTTTATACCTCCGGCACCCTTCCACTATCGTGATGAACCCCAAAGTTCTGTTCGTGGCTCACTCTCTCTCTCTCTTTCGTCCCTTTTCCTATTTCTTTTATTTCCACCAGAAAGAGAGAGAGAGAGAGAGAGAGAGAGACATGTTCTCGCGCCTACCGCCACTATTTTCTCTTCAACGCACGATAATTGACCGGTAAAGAGTTACGAATTCCACCACCGGAACTCTTCGCCAATATGACGCAAGTTGACCTTGAACTCGAAATACCCCCCATCCACGGCTTTTACTTTCTTTTCTTCATGTGTGTGACATGTCTCCCCCGTCATTGCCGAGTCTGAATCAGAGACGATGTTGATTACTTTCCTTTTCAGATACAAATATACACAACGAACGTGTAATTTAAAAAATGAAAGAATCTAAAGTAAAGCAAATAAAAAAACGATCTTCTTTAGAGAAAGTTTGCATTTACACGCACATTCTCTGCGTTGTAAACTATCGCTTTACGATATCAGAAAAATACAACGGAAATTTATCTCTCACAAATAAAATTACAATTTCAAATAATATAATATATTTCGTTCAGAAATGTCTGAGCGTGTACGCGCGCGCATAAAAATCAAACGAATGTATTCCTGCCGTTTTGTTTACGCAAACAATAGAAACCGTATCGTTTGTCTGCGGTATGTCTCTCGAAAATATGGAAAAGTGTGAATCTCGAGCGAGCAGAAGAAGCGGATTTTTTCAGATTTTTAATTAATGCGACCGGTCTTCTCTTTCTCTTTCAGACTCAGCCAGCCGGTGAAATCGCGCGCGCTCGTCAGTGATTGCAAACTTCGATCTACGCCGAAGATTGGAAGTGGAGGACGCAGCAAAGCCAGACCGAGCCAGTCTACCACACAATCGTATCGCCATGTAAAGCAACGGGGGAAAATTGATCTCCGCTCGTCATTAAGAGAAACCACGTTCATAGATGAAGCGAGACGACAAATAGATGCGCTTTCGGTTCTGCGATATATCGACTATCGCGTACACAACCGTCGAACTCCCAGCATTACCATCCATTCCAAGTTATCGCGGCGTCAAGAAATATTGAGCGCGTGCATGCTCGTGCGCTAAGAACCTCCGGATAGATAGAAAGAAAAAAGAAAGAAAAAAAAAAAAGGTGAGGCCGTCGGGACGATAAGCTGGAGCATAAGCTGGCAGGGAGGAAGGTGGTGGCCGGTGAAGGAGGCCGAGGAGGTGGTGGTCTCGACGAAGAGGGCGGAGGAAGTCGGCGGTGGCGACCGGCGGTGGTTGCTGCACGTCGTCGGTTGCCGTGAAACGACGCGCGAGACGACGGCGACGACGACGACTACTACGCTGCTGGGGGACGAAGCGACGCGTGAAGGAGGCATGAGGAGGCGAGAGTGACGACGCTGTGCTGCATCCTCGCCCAGATCGTGAGAGGACCGGCGGCAGTGGGGTCCTCACACACGGCGATAAGAATGGCCCCCTTCAATATGGCAGGCGTAGCAGGCCTTCTAGCCACCTGCGCCGCCGTTGCTGCTTCCGCTGCCCACCTTCTGCCGTTGTTGCTGTTGCTAATCTGCCCGCGAGGGACACAGGCGGAACAAGGTAAGGCCCTCACGTTCGGGTTTCCCTTCTTCTTTCTGCCTGCCCTGCGTAGGGCTAATCGAACTTCGAGATGATAGTCCACAGCGACACCTCGGGTCGCGATGTATCGCGCCGATTGCCACTCTCGGATGTATACTTAGCCAGATGTATCGGGTTAGGCAGAGGGATCGAAGCGGTTACCGCCGCCGTTGCCGTGTGATCGACCGATCTGTGGATTATCCCGGGAAAGGCGGAGCCTTCTCCCGATAGCCGTTTATCGTCAACCGGAATCGCGCCGATGACTTAATTATCTCCGCGCGCCCGACCGACGCGGCTTCATTCAATTCGAGAATCCCAGGTACCTCCAGATCTCGTTAGCTACCAGACTCGTTAAGAGATAAATAATTCAATACAAAGTAATCTCTTCTTTAAAACGTGTGAGACATTTTTTTTTGAAAACAAAATTTCTATTTTCAATTCTAGCTGCAAATTCGTATTTTGAACTCTAATGCGACTAATTAATCGCGAAATCGTCGTGTGGTAGGACTCTAATTACTCGCAATATCTCCTTTGTCCTGATACGAGACTCTCTCTCTCTCTCTCTCTCTCTCTCTCTTTCTCTCTGGCACGCTTCTTCTTTCGAATAATGGAGAAGCGAGCGTAAGGGACACGTTAGTTCGCATCAAGCCGACGTTTCCTGACGCTCCGGTCGTAATTTCGCGGCGCGGCGCGGTGCGGCGACCGCGTGATTTATTGCACGGAGACGCTGAATACGAAAGGAAGGGAGAAAGAGAGAACGAACCAAATTGCCACGACACTAATTGCGTACGCGCCGCTATACTTACCCACACAGGAGTATCCTAACGGCCGATCACGTGGCGACTATGAGAGTTTCTCATCTACTTCAACTCGCATTAAGCTATTATTTTATATAATCCGTCTACTCTCTTTCGTGAAACGCGATCCGCCCCACCTCAATCCTCCCGGTTCTGATTCAGCATTCGTTTCTTCCAAATGTCGCATTTACGTTCGCGCTCTTCGAGTTGTCCCGCATTAACGCCAATTGAAAGTTTTTTTTTTTTTTTTTGCAGTATATTTCAGACATTCTCTACTCTAAGTATAGTCGGCAGGTTAAATATTGACGGGGCGAAGTCTCGGATCCATTTACAGTAACTAAGCACTTTGTCTCTCGTCCGTCCTTAATCGCGATATAATTCCCTCGTCGCATTGAGATTCACGGCAACGCGCTTTTAATTTTCTTTTTTTCTTTCTTCCTTCTCTCTCTCTCTCTCTCTCGCTCTCTCTTTCTCTCTTTTCCCTTTCTTGCGAGCGCCGAGTCAGTGTCCCGAGGCGATGGACGTTGTTTGCTCGGATAAAGGATTCTTCTGTGTGCACTGCCCTCGTCCCGATCGCTGCGAACGTGATTTAACGGAGCCAAGATTGGCCTCCTCGGTCCCATTATGCGTTTCTGAAGATCATCCACGCGGGGCTACCCGGAACGTTTTCCATATTTTAACCGAAAAAAAGCTTGGCGCCTCGGGCGTTCCGATGGCTCGCCCTCTTCGCGCCGCTTCACCCTCTTCCCTCATTCCACCCTTTCGCAGAGAGGAATAACGATAATTTCGTAATGCGGACCAATCTTCCGAATTGCGAGATCGTCCGAGGTGCCGGTAGTTAGCGTTCGGGGATTAAAAGGGGGTCGTTTCTTTCGCGCGCTTTCGGAGACGATAGACGCGCCGGCCTCTCTTCTGAGACGACGCAGAGTTCGCAGCGTCCCACATTGTTTCGGCTTTCAAGCGTTTGTGTAAAATGAGACGCGGGCGGGTCCTAACTCTTAACTCTCGCGTTGTTTTTTTTAACTAACATCCAAATTAACTACTAACATTTACCAAATTAACCCTAACCTAACATCCACCGGAGTAAAATTAAGCGGGTAATAAAACTTATTAAAATAATTTATGAAAATTATTGCTCTCGCGATCTGACAAGTTTTTTCTTCAGAAAAAACCTATTCTCAAGTTATAAAATAAAAGTTATTGGTTTCTCAACGTACTTGCACGACCGGATTCCGAGACATCTCGCATTCCTTTGATTTTGTTTTGTCACATAAATTGGGGACCTCGTAGCAGCCACTTTTGGCCACGTCTTTTGGTGTGTACCACACTCGTGTGTCATGTGTTCTTCATGTGTTTATATATCACACACTCTCTTTATTATATTTATTAACTTTTTGCACACGTCTATAAAATGATATTATTACTTTTTATTATCATAATGAACCCTAAATCCCATGTGCTCTCCCCTGCTTTTGGCGAATTTCGGCTGACTCGGTTTCGAGATCTCCGGGTTGCATCCTACGATCGCGGCCACCGTGGACTTCCCGCGGCAAGTTTCTCCGGCGGTGGCAGAAGGATTCCCCCTTGGGAATCGTTCCCTCTACTCCCCGTGCCCCGGTACGTAACGCGTTTAATGGAACTTGCCAAGGATCCGTTCCCAGTGGACCGTGTCTGCCGATGGAGGCGGCTAACTTCGTTTCCCTCGACTCGCACGAAACGCGAGCTTCTCGTTATCCTTGCCCTTTCCCCGCGATATCTTTGCGAGAGCGCTGCGCTTCTCTGTCTGTAGCTGTTGCTGCTGCTGCGTCGTCGTCGTCGTCGTTAACATCCGTGAACTTTATCCTTCGATCGTATTCGTGATCCCTGAGACGCGCGTCCATTACTTTAGTTCCCGAACTTGCAAATTTACAGACACGAGAAACGGCCGAGAAGGAGCTTTGCGCGCGAATTATCGGGACTTGAAATTCTTCGTCGGCGCGTAATGTCCCGCGAGATCGAATTCCTGAGCTCGTCGTCTTACGCTCAGCCACGAGGAATGCACGTGGTATTTGCGCGCGATAATGAATATTATCGACGCGCGGATCGGAATCAAAAATCCGTAAATTTGAAAAATTGCCGAAACGTTTGAGTGTGAAAAATACGAAATAAAGAAAGACGAGATTATAAAAATAAAAAATCGCGCGATATTACGTTTCAGTTAATAATTAAACTGACAGGCGTTTATCTTCACGCGGTGGGAATTTCGCAAAATCATGTAGCGAGCAGAAATCTATTATACACAGTTTAGCCTCGCCTTTTCGCGCGCGCTCGATCACGAACGAGCCCTTTCCGAGAGAGTTTTAGACGAACCGAATGCCGTAATACGGCGGTCGAAACTCAATTACTTTCTCGAGAAGCAAGGAGCCCCCACGATGCCACGTTCTCGCTACCACCGTCCACTCGAACTCATTTACCGTAGAAGCGAGTCCATCCGTTTTGCTCGCCGGCGATGCGATCTCCTTGAGAAAGAGAGAGAGAGAGAGAATTACACCGGCGAGAGAAACCCCACCTAGAACTCAAAACTTCCTTTCATTCGATTCCGTTGTACGTAGCGGACATTAGCTAGAACGTGAAATCAGGAATGGACGAACGAGAGAATCGAAGTTACGTCAGCGAGAAGACGAAGAACGCGCCCGGGCGCGTTTCTTGCTCGCTAACTTCTCCCTCTCTAACTTCTCGGCGCTGATTCGTTTACCGTAAATGCATTAATCGATACCGCCTTCCCTCTCGATGCAACTCTAGCTCTCTCTCTCTCTCTCTCTCTCCGAGTGCCTCGACACGTTGATTAAATTATAGCTAATCCCACTAGGAGCGATCCTTCTCTCGTCGTCCTGTCTTTCGTCTCGCGTCACGCGCGAGCACGAGTGTCGAAGTGCTCTCTAGGCATATTCTCTCTCTTGTCTCTCCGCGAAAGATGGCAAGTTTCCTTCGCGACCGCCCTCAACGATGGCAACTAGGAGAGGAAACGAGGAAGAAGTTAGCGATCCCCTGACGCAAGCAGAAGCGGCATCATCGGGATATTGGGAGCAAGGAGCGACGGCGGTAGCCGGGAACGGGTCTCGCGAGAGAGGCAGCCAGTCCTCTCTTCCCGTAGCAAACTCGATTGCCTCCGCGAAAAGGCAGAAAGACTCGTTCGATCTCGTGGCTGCGCGAGAACCCGGCTCTCGTCGCTTTTGCTCCTTCCTCCTTGAGCAAGTCTCTCCTCTCTCTCTCTCTCTTCGCTGCTGCCCTTTTCTCTCTTTCTCTCGTTTCCTAACTCTCTCTCAGGGCACGGTGAGTAAGAGACGCGGCAACGCCGCAGGAATGCCCCCGGCCAACCCACCGCATGCATACCTGTACAACCTACTACTCTGATCCCGGGCCCCGACTATACACCAGCATCCTATCGGCCCGACAAGGACGGAGGTAGGACTTGTCCCCTAACGTCTGTGTGTGTGTGTGTGTGTGTGAGAGAAATGAAGGGAACCGAGAGAGAAGGAGAGAAAGAATAAAGACACGGATAGAGAGAGAAAGAGAGAAGGAAGGAACTGTGCTCTTCTTTGTGTACGAGTGTACGTGAAGGTTGAAGAGAGGACTTATGGTTCCGGCCTATGTGCGCTGCCCGTGCGCGAGGAAAAGATCACACGACGAATGTAGGCTACTCTCTCATTGACCGAGCTCGCTGTGGCACCGCGGGTTGATGAGAGAGGAAGAAAGCGAAAAAGAGAGAAAGAGAAAACGAGAGTGAAGATTCGCGAGATGGTATATCCCCGCAGATGCACCGGTGCGGCGAAAATGCATCTATCGCGAAATTGACCGTCTTGCAACTTCGAGAAGCGGTTTTACGCGCTCTTCTGCTGCATTATGCACCGAAGAGCGAGATGTCCGCGTTATTTCCCCGCGCGTTTAGCGTCACTGAAAATGTCGAAGAACATTTTCCGCGGATAAGAATGTAAAAGAGAAATCCAATATGTGTGTGTAGAATGTCGCGCGGAGAGAGAGAGAAAGAGATTGGCCGTTGGATGTGATATCGGAATTTATAATACAAATCGCGATGTTTGATTGCGACATCAATTAAGAACGAAAATGACGCGAGTTAATGTATTCACACGAGATATCAAGGGTTATTATCGGATACCTGTCGACGTTTTGATACGCGAGACGTTT